ATATTAATTTATGCTATTTATATCAGCAATGGCACATAATCCAAATTTTGCATCCTAAAGTACCTTAAGTACACTATGTAATATTTGTTTTAGAAGAGTTTCAGTTGAAATCTGCAATATTGTATTTTTATGTTTTTAGGTTGTACTCAGTTTTATATATTTAAATATGAAAATTTATGGTCAATATTAAAGAGAATAATATGTTTAATAAACATTGAAGAAATATTTATATGTTAAAAAATAATATTGCTCTTATTTTGTACTTTTGGGATCCAAGGCAAATTGATTTGTATGATAAAAGTGACATACTCTCCAAATACATCGGATTGCAATTAATTAAGTTCCTCATTTTTTTGTTAGCACATTATTAGTGTCATCAATAACATTACTTTCCCTAAAGATTTATCTGAAAATTATGCTTTACAATGTAAAGTATCATGTTGCTAATGATATTTATAATTTACTAGTCTAGCCTTTTTTTTTTTTTTTTGGTTTGTTTTCTTTTACTCTTTGTGTAGGTTTGCTTTTCTTGGAATTATGAAAAAAATCAGAAGAATTAATTAGGTGTCCCTTATTTTTGTCCAGGATAATTTATCCTGGTTGCTTCTGCTAGCCCTGGAATCTTTCCAGACAATTTACTTACTGCCAAGTCGTGGCAGGTAAAATGTTTTCCTAAAATAAATAAAACAATTCAAAACAAAGTGTCGTTAGCATCTGCTAGCAGCCACAAACCAAATTTAAATACTCTGCTCTTGTTATTGCTATGTAATCCTCAGTTTTTCTTCAGTAGTAGCCTTTTACCATGTCTGTAACCATGTTACATGAGAAAATACTTGTTTGTAACATGTTATTTTGAATATACATCAAAGATATGAATAAGAATTTTATGTAACAATATATTTGTTCAATCACCATGGTGAACATACTAACTTATAATACAAGCATGTTTTAATTAATTTCACTGATAATAAACTCTACAGAGTAGTAGCAAAATTTCCCATCTTATTATTAATGCAATTTTCTAAAAATATAATAAAGATTTGTGCCACAAAGTTTTTTTTTTAAGATTTTAAGTTTTGTTAACACATATGGTTAATAGAACTATTATCACAACCATATTTAAAATTTCATTGGAAATATTGAATACAAAATGAAATCTTCTGGGAGGATAATTACATGTGTTTCTCGCAACCACAGTACACGGTGCTTTGTTTTTTAAAAGTCACTGGTGCCTGAGGTGTGTTGGCCCTATTGTCAGTGTTTAGTCCTTGTTGAACCTCGTTTGAGTACAGAAAGTCCCTGAGCTAACACAAGGTTACATGTCGATACCCATGCTGGAGTTTGAAAATGCAAGCATCCTGAGTCAAAGGTGAATTCAGCACACGTGTCCTACCCAGCATGGTGACTTAGCAGCCCAGAACGCTGTAGGCTATGAGCCGAGCACTCCTGACCACGTGGGTGCTGGGGAGCTGGGAGTCACTGCCCCTTCAGCATTGCTAGCCCAGGGGGAGATCAGAATTCAGAATACGGTTTTGAGGGAATATATGCCACTCTCCCACCATCGATAAGTTGAAAACTTCAGGGGCCACCTGTACAGGTTGAGTTTTGGAAACAGGAAGGATTTTCATTCTGTCAAAACATGAGCTGACTAATATTATTGTGGGGCACCAAATAATGAAATACATGGATACAGTATGAATGACCCAACTGAGCCTCAGATGAACTAGTGTTTCCTCCCTGCATGGGCACTGATTCCGTCCACGTTCTTGCTGTCACTTCTGCGAGTCTGGCCTTCTGCTTCACCCTTTAGAGGCTGCTCCACTCTAGCCAGCCGACTGACTTGGTCACGGGTGGTGCAGGTGTGGAGCAGGAGAGCAACCAGAGAGGCTGGGGGTAGGGGGGTGGGGGGGTGGGGGGGGTCCTCCTGAGCTGTTCCTGGCTGTCCTCCTTTAATGTAGTCACCCAGTGCTTCCTCTTCCAGTCTCCTCCTTTGGTCAGATCATCTGTTCCTGGAGGTTCCTCCAATTCTTTTATAGAACAATTTTCTATTAAAGTTTCACCAAGTACTTTGAGCATGACTTTCTAATATTTTAACTTTAGTGTAAATAGTAGAGCGATGTCAGGATACAGAAGACAGCGATTTCTGCTTCAAAGAGGAGGTCAAAAACACAGTATCCCATAGATACAGCAAGTACCAAGTGTTGACCAAAGCGTTTTATAAAATGCTTAAGGGGATAGAAATGCTAACTAACCTGATTTGATCTTTACTTACCAGATATCTGTGTGGAGTAAGCACACTGTACTGCATAGATAATATGTACAATTGAAATAATTAAATTTAAAAACTTAAAGGTGTAACTCAAGTGCAGAGCCAGATAGCTAAAAGAATACAGTAGGAGATGTAATTTTATATCAATTTGTTATTAAATGAGCTACAGGGAATAAGGCAGATGTATAGAATGTGAATGTTACATTTCTACTTTAGTATTTAAGATACTGTTCTTTAGTGTTTTCTAGGTATAATGAAGACATAATGCGAATGATTTAAAATATATTAATGCACCATTTGCTGTTGGTGACATAGTGTTACTCTAATATAATGAGCTACTGGATAAGTAAAATATCCTTTCACTTATGGACACACACACATACATATGCAAAGATGGATATTACAGTGGACGTGAGGCTTGAGGAAACGTGAAGCAGCACAGCTTCTATGTCAGACGAATGTGGGTAACACTGCTAGGTAGGTGTAACTGCTGGGCACAGAGGCAAAATGGTCCACTATTGAGAGAGTAGAAGGAGGAGGTACTTCTGAATTGGGTTCATAAGTATGAAAGGCTTTCTAGTGTTGTGTGTTATTTGTGAAGAGAATTAATTGCACTCTTCTGAGACACACAGTAATCAAATAATATAATGGATTAATAACATTATTTTTTCTGATAAAGCCTCTGAATGCTGTTGAGCTTAATATGTTGCATTGAGTACGACCCTCTAGCGCTTACCAGCGTGAACAGCTCTGTGCCTGGTGTTAGTAAAGGAAGCTGTTTTTTAAAAGTGCTGGATATTTTGATTAGGGCACGAGGGAATGTGTTTTAAAGAAGACGCCCTTGTAGATGGCTTAAAATAACATCGTGACCACATGTAACTGGCCTTTGAATGTCATAAAATGTCATTCTAATCTTAAGCACAGAATGTGGGAATAAAGTTCGCTTTACTAGAGTTTGAAAACGAGGCATTTAATTCCTTGCTTATATATTACTACCAGCATAAAACTTCATAATGTATCTTAAATCAAATAAAAGCTTCAGAATTTCTATTATTTTTAGAAATAGAAATATAATTAGACTTTTTGTTAAGCATTCTCTTTGGAGTTATCAAATATTTGATCCCTAGACTGTATAGGCCATTATCATTTCTTTCTTTTCACTTAGAGGTACATGCACCATAATCAAACAAAAATCTTTTGATTTTTATATGTGTACCAATATGTTTTGTGCTAAACAGCATCTTATTTGGTGCCAATAAGGACAAAGATGTGAAATGTGGCATGAGAAAAACTAAGTCCAACTGCAAATGTGAAAAAAAAAGACAAAACATGTTGTATTATTTTCAATGGTATTGAAAGTCTTAGATCTTCAGAGAATAGTTAATGAAATCAACAGAAATAATACTTATAGACATTTTAGATTAATAGACAGAAATTGGCAATAAAAGGAAAATATTTTACTTAGGGCAAACAAGTACAAATACAAAAAATCAATATGAAGATATTTACAAAAATATTATGTAACAGACCTTGATTAAAAAAATGAAAGGGGCCGGTGCCATGGCTCACTTGGTTAATTCCCCAAATGCAGCGCCGGCATCCCATATGGGTGCCAGATTCTACTCTGGGTTGCTCCTATTCCAGCCAGCTCTCTGCTGTGGCCTGGGAGGGCAGTGGAGGATGGCCCAAGTGCTTGGGCCCCTGCACCCACATGGGAGACCAGGAGGAAACACCTGGCTCCTGGCTCCTGGCTTCGGATCAGTGCAGCGCTGGCCATGGCGGCCATTTTGGGGGTTAACCAACGGAAAGAAGACCTTTCTCTCTCTCTCTCTCACTGTTTAATTCTGCCTGTCTAATAAAGAAAATGAAAGGAAAAACAAGCCGAACTTCCTGAGGTATTACTATACCCCAAGCAGTATGTTGCCCCTTAAGGGTGTGTATTATGTTAACTGAAATCCAAATCCATTTCCTAGGCTCACATACCTAACAAGTAGTTGTCTGCACTGAGATTTAAATTCATTTCTGAGCTGACTTTCTGACTCTGTGAACTTTGTTCTTGCTCCTGTCTCAAGCTTGTGTTTATAGTTAAAGTTAGATGGTTGTTATCACGAAGTGATTTATATTGTCTAGAAGAATCTTTGTTTTTAGGACTAGGTTTTAGGCTATACTTTCTATATAATTTTCCACAGGATAATAATTCATGTATAATCACCAATTGCATAGACAGAGATGAGGGAAAATAACAACCAAATGCAGATAAAAAGCAGAATGCTGTCAGGGGAATGTGAGTGTATCAGCTGATGAGTCCCATAGAGAACTGACTGACCGCCAAAAGCGATGCCTCGTGAGAGTGTCTGTTAAAAATGGGAAGAAGCCCCATCCCAAAGCCCAATTCTCATATGCAGCTGATATGCGGCAACATTTTTATAAGTTTTGAAAATATTCCTTGGGCAGTTTGCTCAAATTATACTATTCTGATGGGAGCTTCTGTATCCCTTGAGAGGTATTTAGAGCACTGATGAATGGGATCTATATTGGTCTCCCGACATTGGAGCTTATTTTCCAGGACACATAACAGTCTAGCCAGTGGGCAGGAAGAGAGGAATCTTAGTGGTGAACACTGTTCCTTCAAGGGTGTGGAGTTTGTTTTTTTTTTTTTTTTTTTTTTTTTTTTTTTTGCCAAGAGCCATTTGGATATTGATGCAATCATTCTCAGGCCTTACCACGTATTCAACTTAAAAATTACCCTGCTAGACTTTTACTGCGTTTTAAGTACTGCCTACAATTGCTCTGTCAGGGCCAGACCAATTGATTTGCTGGTCTTATCCTGCACACAGGCCAGATGTTCCCCACCCCTGTAAGGCATTAAGTAAAGAAAAATAAGTATAAATCTTATCACACAATAAAAACTGTCCTATGGGCTTTATTCCTTAAACACAGAAAATGAACCACCTTGAAGTCTACGTGAGATACCCAGAGTTCTGCTTTACTTATCATTCATCTGAGATGGAGAAGGTGGCCTTGGGTGAGCCGAGACTTTCTGGACGCAGTCCCTGTTACTGACTGTGTAGCAGTGAGCAGCTTAGCCACGTGTGAACCTTCAGCTCTCTGAAATCCCATCATAATATTGCCACCTGAGGCACACCTCCGTTCAGTATTAGCGTTTGCTTACCAAAGCCGTAGAGATTACGTACCAAGAGAACTGGGGAATATCTCAACGGAGAAGCAGTTAGGAAAAAACATTAAACAATATGGAGAATTCGACGCCATCTGTGAGTGTCTTGGCAGATTGGGTAAGTGGAAGAGCTAAGAGGGTTTCTTGAGCAGTCTGTGGACTCCATGATGTTATGAGAAATTGCTATTGGATCAGCCTTCCATATTCTTCTAGAAACAAGGGTCTGAAGGCTGCTTAAATGAGTTTGAGCTTAAACATTTGTCCTGGTCTTCATGGTTTGGTTCAGGAAGTGTTTAAGTTATGGTAGAGTTTTGCAAGTTTTGGTTTATATTTCAGTTCTTACACTAGTATATTTTAAGCAACATTCCTAAGTGTTATGTAGTACAGATTTCTTAGAATATCTCATTTTACATGTTGCTAGAAATGAAACATCAAGTTATTTTGAAAATGACAAATGAAAAAATATTTTTAAATATGTTAAAACCCTTCATTTATCTCCCCTTGGATCTGGTGATAATTGCTGACATATTCTTTCCTAAATCAAGGTATTTGAATTAAATATGACTGTTAAGCCAAGTGTTAGTAATTTTGTAGATTCTGGAAAAATGTTTTGGTGTGCACTCAGCCTAAAAGCTGATAAGACCTTTCTGAAATTCAGTTCAGAATAATCCATATTTTTGACTCATGAATGTATAGAAATACAAGTCATTTTAGATATGTTGAGGACATGATTTTAAAGCACATTTGCAAGAAAAGTAAAATTAATTTCATTAAAATGTATAGAATTTAATAGTATAATATATAGGGACTACACATAAAATGAATTTTTTATACTGCAAGCAAAAACTAGAATGAATTTCACATATTAGCATGTCAGTCTTGTTAAAAAAACTTGAGGTATTTGGGTGCCAAATTACATTGGCAGTCAAGAATCTATAATCTTCAAAATTGTGTTCTAGAACTGTCTGACTACAGAGGGTGGTTATTTCTGCTTTCCATGACTATATAATAAAAGAGTTTAGTGAAAAAGTCTTGATGGGTTTACAAGTGAAGGTGTGTATGAGTATGTGGGTGCCTGCATGCTTTATGTAATGCGACGGGTATGTCTTGGCTGTAGCTGTGATAGGTTTTTAGACGATTTTTTAAATTTCCATTCTACTTTTGATATAAACAACAAATATATTTCTAGTTAATTAGTTTTCATACACAATTATAATAATTGATGAAAGATAAATGAAACATTACTAAAGTCCCAATGCAATGTCCTTTATATGTGCCAACATCCTTTGAATTTGACACTTCTTAAGTAAATATTTGGAAATGTATATATAACTGCATTTCTCTCTGAAATCTGCTAAGGAATGAATGAAGGTTTGTTCCTGGGAAATAAGAGAAATAAATGAACATTGAGACATTTGTTCTTTTCAGAAACACATTTTACAATCGTTTATTGGTAATTCTGAAGGCATATTAATATATGAAGAGCTTTTTGATTTATTGTTTTAAATTACTTTCACCAAAAGGAAGAAAAAAGGAGAATTGAAAGAGAATTCGAGAGAGAGAAAGCTCATAAATGAGAACCTAAATTGAGAGGTAAGCTTAAGTTCAGAGGGGAAAAATAGTTTGAATTTCTTTGAATGTTCCTTCAGTTTCAAATAGACCCTGTGAGGTGCGTTTCCCCAAATCAACCAATTTGCAACAGTACAGGGGTGGAGTGCCAGAGGAAATCCTTTCTGATGATGTCAGGATTAAAAATAGCAGTTTTCAGAACTGTGTGTATGCCAGATCCAATATGTCAGTTCCAATATGGCTTGATGCACAAAAAATAGAGAGGAATGACATGGAGCAACGACCCCACAAATGGAAAAATAGCTCAGAAAAATAAGCATAGATGAACTCTTCAGATAAGAAAAATGCCATTGTTCATCCCTAAAATGCACACCACGATTTCCCCAATATAATTTTCATGTTTATGTCAAATTTTCTAACTAATACTTTAGATACATATTCTTAAGAACACATGTAATAATATTGAATATCTTCATGGATGTTTGAAACAAAATTCAAGATATTTAATAAATCATTTAGTGTGTGATATCTAAATATAGATATTTAGGTGTAGAACAAGAAATAGTGAATTAACTACATATTTTAGCTATCTAAACAAGAGAAGCTAAACTAGTATCCCAGATGATTAATCATAACATAATGATTTCATAGATAGATTTGGTGGAGAGAACATGCTATTAGTGTTGTGTTCTCATTATATCCACATTGTAATATTGTTAAAACTATTAAATTCTCTGAATAGAGAAATCATCTACTGATTATTAATCTTACATATTTGCCAAAGGCCAGTTTAGGTGATGTTTCAGGGAAGTTTATTAATTATTTAGAATAGCATGTTAAAGAGAAAACAAACTTTTAAATTATGGCTCTCAATTCTTTTCAGAATTTTATATTCCTAAGGAAGTACAGATAAAATGTGTATCAACAAATGAATAGAATAAATGAAGGGGTACAAAGGCAGGCCATAAAGAACATCAGATTACAGCTTATTTTAGATATTCTGATAGCCATTCTAATTACAGTCAAAATAACCATGTTTAGAAACCAAACATATTAAGTATTTTCTCTATCTCAAAAATGGTCACTAAAATGGCAAACAATCTGTCTACTTTACTCAATAGTATATTTTCTTCTCTTTAGTCTTTTAACTAAAAAATTGTATTCTCTGTTGTAGATGATACCAATATATTGTGTGTCTCATTGTTACCTCATTTATTTATTTTCTCATTCAACAAACATGTATCCGATGCCTCAGACAAGCCTGTTCTCTTGCCAGGACATACAAAGTTGAATTAGATGCAGCATTGCATTCAGAAATTCAGTTTCACCTGCCAAAAACACCATCATTACGCTAAAGACCACAAAGAGAGATTTCCCTCAACAGGAATAAAGAATGTCCATGAGTGTGATAGATAGTGAGTGAGATGATTTCCAAACACAGCTTCATTAGATCACTAATCACTAGGGTGTTGGTCTGGTATTGCTTTTTATTAGGTAGATAAGCTCAGAAAATTAGAAATTCTCTGAGAAGTCTTGCTTATTAAAAAATGCCTCTCCCCTTAGGCTGTAGTGAAAAAAGTTAAATAGTTATCTAAACTTTATAGACTAAGTGAATTAAACGTGGCGTTTATGTATAGTAACACCAGCTTTCTAAGGGATTTCTGAGCACTTGAACTTTCTCGGAGTTGAAGTACTTGCATTAAGTCAGTGCCTCAAGGCTAGTGCAGAGTGAGGGTTTGTGAGAAGGACTTCTCTCTCAGACCTAGCTGAATTTATCTGGACTTTTAGTACCAAGCCAACAAGCAAGTGGTGAAAATAAATGACACATACAAGATCAGGGATAGATGAGGTTGAATAAATGAAATCGGGCTGTGTTCTCCTTCCTGTCTCAAAACACCTGCAAACGTCTGTGATTTCCGCAGCCGCATAAAGCTAGAAATAGACCAGGTCAGAGAAGGCCAGGACTAGCGACCAACTGACTTTTACCCGGAGTGAGACGGATGGCTCAGCCCTCCAGGGCGGATCTTAATTCCATAAATTCGCCTTGGTGTTTGCTTCTACGCTCTCCATTTGTTTCTGCCTCACCTCTAGGCCTGCTTAAGGTGTCAAGCAGCTAAGTGGTTGCAGTACGTCCCAGAACAAACAGGCAGTACAGCTTCTGGGGTGCCGCAAAGGAGCCAGGTGGTACGGAGGTGGTGATGGAAGGCGCCACAGTAGGCCATTGCCCTGCTAGGAGATGGCAGGGCAGGTGGAGAGAGGGCGCACAAAGCCACCCAAGATTCCTGCAGAGTGGTGAGACTGGATTCTGAAATCAGGACGTTAGCACCAGGCAGCTGCGTCGCAGAGCTCAGCCGGGCAAATGGGTGGCGTGCGGGGGAGAGCTGCCAGGAAGCACAGTGCAAACAGGTCAGTCAAGAACCACATGCGTCAATGCAGCAGATGCGGCTGGATTGGAAAATGAGGTTGGAAAGGGGTAGCAGGAGACAGAGCAGCACCAGGAGCGCCCAGCTCAGCATAACGTGCCGCTGGAGTCTCGGGAGCTTTCCCGCCGCGTTCTCTTCGGTTCCTGATGGGTAGTGTGTGGTCTGTGCAGGCAAGCGTTCACGGCCTGCTTGTGCACCACGTCTCCATCCACTGCCGTCCTCCTCAGAGCATCACTTTATTTCTCAGAGTAGTCTCTATAACTATTCACACTCAATAGAAACGTTTGCTAATCCCGAAGTTTAGAAAAGCACTGTGAGCTATTTGTAAAATGATGGAAACTTCCAGTGGGCGAATAGAACAGTTTTAGAAGACAAAGTTTAGTTACACCTGTTAACAGCGTATTTCACATTCATAGTTGGCTCGGATATATTTTTGGCTCATAATGCAACTTGCTCGTAGATCCGTGTGTATCAGTAAATAGTGAAGATTCAGTGCTACTTCCTCAAGAGGCTGTCAGAACTCTGACAGATTCATTCAATGGAGGGAAAATACAGCATGGTCATCGATCATGCTCTCCTCTTAGAAATGTTCCACTAGAAAGATATTAGAATAGATGGTGTCTAAAATATTCTTGGATGGAATATATTTTTTAAAAACTGCTAATATACATTATATAGGGACAGCTAATGCTTATACAAATGATTGATTTTGGGGGTAACTTTCAAAGAATTATATCTAATATATTAATTCAATATTCACTGTAACTGCAGGGAAGAGGTGATTTTGTTATAAAATTCACTTTGAACATTTAGAAAACTGAGCTGCAAACTTGGGTTGCCTATTTCGACAAAAACTGCTAATTAGGATTAGAAGTGATATTTTGGCATTACTAGTCTGTTTCTCCTGCAGAAACCATCCCTCAGCTGGCAATAGGAATCAGAGATGCACTTGTAGAAACAGATAGAATACACTGTTCCCCTAACTACTTCATGTAGGAAGGTCCCAAAATGATCTATCAATGGGAGACCCAAAAGGAAACAAATAATGTACAAAAGGTGTGAGAACCAAGGTAGAGGGAAGAGATAAAAATATCTGTATCATATAAAATTATTCGCCAGAATATTTTTATGTAAGTGTGAGTGTATATATTATAGATATATTTTCATAAAATTTATGGATAATTTATGAAGAATATAGCAAACACTTGATCTGTTAACTGAATATAGAATCTTGTTAATTATTGAGTGTTTCTTAGAGATGATAATCAAGGCTTTTTATTTGAAATCTTACCTATGTCAAACATGCAAGTTATAAAATATACTTAAATAATTTTGGATCACATTTAAGAGAGTACAATTGCCCCTATCAAGAGTATTTATAATTTCCCTGAAGTATAAAATCTCTTAACTTTCACACTTTCCTGGAATTTTGTAGAATAGCAGTTGGTAGTATTGCATGAAATATTTTGTTCATGAGAATTTTCCCAATATATTTTACAAAGATGATTTAGTATGCATAGAGACAGATAGATAATATTTAACATAGAACCCATCTCATTTCTTTGTAAGATTAATGTAAAAACTTATTGAAATATGATTTGTGAATATTTACTATTTTATACAAACCAAGAGGATGAGCAAGAAGTTGTTTTAGTCACCACTGTATATTCACTGGGATTGATGGACATTTAAAGTTCAAATAATAAATCATATCTAGAAAAACAGAGCAATACACAGTCTACCTGATTTTAATTTTGAAGACCACAAATGCCCTAATTATGAGCATTCTACCAACCCATTCATCTTAATGGGGGTGGCTCTGTACTGGTATTTATAAATGATGATGAGCTGGGCATATCAAAGAATTCAATTACATATTTGCTTATTGATTTATGCATTCTTTAGATAGAAATTTGAAGAATAGAGCATGAAATTAAAAAGATTTCGACAAATAAAGACTTCCATATTACATGTTATGAGAAACACAAAAAACTATAATAAATGTGATAGCTACAACTAATGAAACATAGATTTTAATTTAAGATCTGAATGTTAAAGCATAAATTATACATGGAAACTGAAATGAAAACTGAAAGAAGTAACAAACTTACATTTTCAATTGGAATATAATAAATTACAAATAGGATTACTCTATATTTTACCTATTTTCATAAGAATTTTTACTTTTCCATTGGATAATGACATTAAGTGGAACAATTTGAGAGGAGAAAATAAAAGTGAAGGCATTAGGCATTATAAAACTGAAAATTCCAGGTAAAATTCAAGAGGATTGCTGAAGCATTTCAAAGTCCTATTTATATCTCATCATTAAAATTTTAGCCTACAAAAAATGAACTCCTCTCTGTACATGATATATGAGCGCTTGGCTCACGTAGTTCTTCCTGATGAGAGCTAGAGCTTACAAAGATAGCTTTCGCTTTAGAACTCCAGGAAGGTTGCTTTTTTCATGGATGTGAGCCATGCTTAACAAGCCTGATCCAGCCTCCCAGCCTGTTCCCTGCCAGTCTCTCATTAGCCTCATCTCTGCCTCACTCCCTGCTTTGTCCTGAGCAGGTCCGTGATTGCTTCATTTGGATGTGAAATTAGGACGGTGCTGCGGACATCACCAGGCACACTCCTGTCTTCCTGCACATCCGGCTGAGCAGGTGCAATCCTTGCTGCCGGAGCAACACAGTAGGCTTACGATATCATCATTGCTGCTCCTTCAAGTCTTGATGGACACAACACCCGCAAACCTGTAATCTGCATATTTAAGAAAAAACACCTTGTACTTAATAGGTCAAAGGACAATGTGTTTTGAAGGAAGTTTCACAAAAATAATCTCAAAGGAATGTCAAAAATCAAACTATTTAATCTTGTTTATTTTTATCTTGACAGGCAGAGTTAGAGAGACAGAGAGAAAGGTCTTCCTTCTGTTGGTTCACCCCATAAGTGGCCATTACGGCCGGCACACTGCACCAATCCGAAGCCAGGAACCAGGTGCTTCTCCTGGTCTCCCAAGGGGTGCAGGGCCCAAGCACTTGGACCATCCTCCACTGCCTTCCCGGGCCATAGCAGAGAGCTGGACTGGAAGAGGAGCAACTGGAACAGAATCTGGTGCCCCAGCTGGGACTAGAACCCAGAGTACAGGCGCCACAGGTGGAGGATTAGCCAAGTGAGCCGCGGCACCGGCCCAAACTATTTGATCTTAATAGATATGTCAGATGACTTCCTTCCCATCCTTCCCATGGCTAGATGTACATAACTGTCTCATTCACGTAGGTGCCTAAATTAGAAGATATCCCTGCAATATCTTTCCTGTCTGACTTCTAATAGAATTATTCTTTCTTTCATGCTACAACATAAATTATACCTTTGTGTTAAAATGCTACCCTTCTGTTTATCATAATTTGTTATAACGAGAGTTTAAATTTGAGATTCTCACACAGGTCTGCACATGCTTTGTGAAAAATTAGTGTGATTCTTGTGGACATTATAGTTGTCAAACTTTAGTATTTTGTGTCCTATATAAGTATACCTACCATTTTTCTTCTTAAATGACTGCTTTAAAAAAAAAAAGATTTATTTGTTTGAAAAGCAGAGTTAGGGAGAGAGAGAGAGAGAGAGCGAGAGAGCAAGAGAGTGAGTGAGCGCTTCCATCTGCTGGATTACTCTCCAAATGGCAGCAGTGGCCATACCTGCACCAAGCTGAAGCCGAGAGCCTGGAGCTCCATCTGGGTTTCCCACGTGGATGGCAGGGGCCTCAGTACTTGGACCATCTTCTGCTGCCTTCCAGGCTCATTAGGAGGGATCTGAATCAGAAGTCGAGCAACTGGAGCTGGAGCTGGTGCTCATACGAAATTCCAGTGTCAGGAGGCAGCTTTTCCTCCTGTGCCACAGTGGCCACAACACCTCCTTTTTCCCCCCATGTGAAACAGCTCTCTCTTTATCCACATAAATAATTTAAAACACTTTTATTTCATACTAGTTAATGAGAAATATGCCATTTTAATGTGTTTTTAGCCATAAATAAAATGTTCTTACTCTTGCAGCAGACTGACTGCACTTGCTGTTCTTTTGGAAGACTAGCAAGTATTAGAGTTGAGTTAAACAGCTCTCCTTGTGGCTGTAGCCAGGAACATAAAAGAAACGTGAACAGAGTTTTGCCTGTGAGTTTGAATCTTTTACAGTTTCTCTGTTTCGATAGCTAAAATTCTTCTTGCTTATCTCTAAGAAAATATTATTTCCCATTCTATGCCCCATACAGACACCCAGGAAGGCACCTATTTGGTGTTGTGTTAGGCTTATTTTAATAAAGCACTGGATTAGACCGGTGGGTTTATTGACTAATGACCACGTTCCAGAGTCCTGAAGTTGATCTTACCCATACACGAGGTCCAAAGACAGGCGTTCGAGGGCTGACGAGCTGCTGCACGTGAAGGGTCTCAGATGCTGCCTGCATTTCTGTTGTGATGTCCGTGGCATTAGTGGGCCGCAGTTTCTGGAGTCCACACATGTCGTCTCGTTCATTAAAGCAGGAAAAAGGAAGAAGTTCTGCCATCACAAGGAAGTTCTTTTCAGCCTCTTCTGTTGAACTTCCATAAACGAAGCCTCGTTGACTAGAACACAGCCACTCGCCAGTCCCGGCTGCCGGGAAACAGCATCCTTTGGGATGGATGCAGTGATGTCTACAAGCAACATAAAATGCTCCGGTATGATGCTACACCCCTAGACAGGAAGAATAGTTTACCATTGAGTCTCAGTAGTTCTCCTAGTGGGTCTCACCAGCTCGAAACAGACTGCAATAGTATTTTAGCGCTCATGGGACTAGACTTGCACCATCTAATTGTATTTTTGACTTAGAAACTCAAATGGTAAAAATAAAAAATGATAAAGTCTAGTCCCATCATACCCCCACTATGCAAAAGTGTTTGGTTTTAAAGTGCTAACTGGTTTACCAGGACCACCACACCAAGTGGCTGTGCTGAAGCCTGGCAGGACAAGAAGCCGATGCAGGCTGTTGGGGCTGCTGTAGCCCACCATCAATACAGAGTCACGTCAGCCGATACGTTTTCTGTGTGTTGACCTTTACTGCCTGAGAAATGGCATCACCAGTGTTTTGTCTGTCTGTCAGTGTTGATTGAGTGTAGCATTTATTTCCTGAATGGAAGAATACTAATAATAGTATCTAGGTTGAGCTTGAAATAAAACTAGAAAAAAGATGGAAAACTGGAGGTTGTAAATCTCAGGTTCTTCAAAGAGAATTAAACTTGGCCTTATGATAAATGTAGGATGAATTACTTTGAAATTGTGTTGGATTATTTGCTGGAAAAGGATTAAATGAATGAATGTTGTGATATTTATTAACGTTAGGTTAACCTAACTAGGAATACCTAGTGTTTCTAACAACAAGGTGTGCAATGTGTAAAGCACAAAGAATATCTGCTTTACTTAGGACCTACTGAATGTTCAATTGCCGATTCACTGTCCATTCTTTAAACATGGCTAGGGACCGGCTTCCTCTTCTTCTTCTTTGCTTTACTTTTCTGCCTTCTTTTTCATCTAGTGACTAACACCAATAGATGCGAATCCTGGCTACATAGAAATCTCTGACCCAAAACAACCCATGTACTGGCCAAATTAAGAGATGAATTAGCATGAAAGCACACAAATAAACAATTTTTCAAAAGCAGGCACTAAAATCATGTAAACAGGGATAAGTTAAATATTCATGTCAATCAGATTTCATACCTCGGGAATTTCAACAGAGACTACAGTGAAACATTGAGCTTGCAATAAGAACGGAAATGACAGAAGCAGAGAACTACAGATTTATGGAGGGTACTTCAGCTCAGTTAAATATGAAACACTTGAACAGTGGTTTTAACCATGACTGGGTACTAGAATCACCGAGAGAACTTCAAAAAAAAAACACCAATTTGAGAGCAGTTTTCCAAAGGAGATAAACTGTCTCAGATGACTTCTAGAGTAGAATAGTTTTTCCCTTTTCTTTCTTTAAACAAATTTTAACAGACATATAAATTTTTTTCTTATTTTTATGGTACTGTATAACGTTTCAATAAAGATACACATTACACAATATCCAGCCAGGGTAAATACACTTTTCCTTTCAAGCATTTATCATTTTTTTATAGTAAAAACATCCCAAATCCTATTCACTCTCTCTCTCCCCCTCCCTTCCTCTCCCTCTCCTTCTCCTCCTTCCCTCTCCCCTCTCCCTCTCTCTATATGGACATATAATAGTATATATAATGTAATATACATATATATATATAACCAGAAGTCTATAGAACACTATCTATGATCGCCTTCCTGTAGAATAGTATCCCGTAACTTCTTTCTTCTATTTGCTGTAACCTCGTCTGTCGATCAACCTTTCCCAATCCCTTTCTCCCCACTTACCTTCCTGGCTTCTTACCAGCATTATTATATTATTTACCTCTGAGATCACTGATTTTTAAACTTCACATACGAGTGAGATAACATGATATTTATCTTACTGCTCTTGGATTATTTCTGTTAACATGATGCCTTCCAGTTCCATCCACGTTGTTGCAGATGAAGTTTTCATCTATTTATGGCTGAGTAACATTCGTTACGTACACATACCACATTTTTCCATATCCATTCATTGGTGGGTGGACACTAAAGCTGTTTCCGTTTCTAGGCTTTTGTGAGTAGGGCTGCAATAAACATGGGAATGCAGATGTCTCCAACACGTGGATTTCATTTTCCTTAGATTTAAAGCTCAGGAGTGACACTGCAGATGAAATGATTGTTCCCTTTTTACTTCCTGAGGAAGTCCCGATCTATTTTCCAAAATGGGTCAACTAATTCACATCCCAACCAACATTGTGCAAGGGTTTGCTTGTATCTACATACTCACCAACTCTTGTTATCTTTTGTCACTTAGGTAATAGCCAATATTACTGGAGGGAGGTGACATCTCGTGATTTTGATTTGCGTTTACCTCAGGATTAGTGATGCTGAGCATATTTTCCTAAACTTGTTAGTTATTTTCTCTCTTCTTTTGCGAAATGTCTGTTTAGATATATTACCCTGTTTTAAATTATATTAATATAATAAAATTTATATGCTGTTGATCTGAGAGCCTTATATATTCCGGATATTAGCTTCTTGTCAGATGGTTTACAAATATGTTTTCCCATTCTGAATGCTGTCTTCACTTTGTTGACTGTTTCTTTTGCTATGTGAAAGCTCTTTAGTTTGATAAAAAATAAAATCCCATTTGTATATTTTCGCTTTTTCCTATGACAACAGAACACTTTGAAAAACTCCTAAGTTATTCTAACAGCAAACCCACCTTGAGAACAAGTATGCTGAATTCAAGATACTCCTTTAGTAAAATCTGACCGTTGGTAGGCTTCTATTTTGTTCCAGTTTCTGGGAGACCTGCTGTTTAGGGCAGGTTTCAGCTTTCTTTAACAGAAGGTTCACCAAATCCAATACACAAACGGTGTCTCCAGACAGGAACCTAGAGGTAGACAAACCAAAGATATAAAAAGGAGACTCTGCTGTTATCAAGGACTTTTCTTCCCATCAGATCCTTCTCCTGAGTGACTAAACAGAGCAGAGTAGCCCAGCCTTCAACACACTGAGTGGTGCTATTTTCCTACTCTCAGATCCCATGAGAAACCTCTCTCTACTGCAGTCAGAAAATCTTGTCTTAAACACATTTCTTTATTACAAAGCTTCTCAGTCTTTATAATATAAAGAAAACCATTCTGAATTTCTATGGAAAATATAATACACATTTTTTTTTTCAAATTTATTTGAAAACAGACTTCCAATACAAAAATTTCTTTGACTTTCCAATTCAGACTAAATATGCAGAATATCCATTTGGGAATAGATGTAACATGATTTTATTATCTTTATATAGAACAACGCTTTTTTCTTTTAATTTTATTTCCTAATGCTTGTAAGGAAAGAATATTGGATTTCAGAATACCAAAAATAAATTCTAAAATTTATACTTATTTTAGTTATTTTTCTAGTTATAATTTTACCAGGACTAATTAAGCTGGTTCTGTTTTCAATAGCCCTAGGGGATGATGATGCAATTAATCATGCATCCTGCCATGCTTCATTTGTCCGTAATACTGCTGTTTGCACAGGAGGTTCTGGTTAATAAATTAAATAGAAGAGATTATGATATCCTGTTACAAGAAATTAATTTTCATGTTACGCCTCAAAGGACATCTATCTCTTCCCATTGAGAAGGACTTAAAATATATCTTCGTTTATAGGATTCAGTTTCATGGAATTTATTCCAGTGAAAATGTACTCTAATATTATGACAAAAAGAGGAATTCTTAGATGTCAGTAATCAGAACATCAAAAACCAGCATTTCTTATAAATTATACTTACTAGACACTGTCTCAGTTTGCACCACTTGAACCCAAGAACCTCAGAGGATTTGGAGGTTCAGGGTTCAAGGTCAGACAGCCCTGATAGTCTGGTGCCTGCAGGAGGTGATGGTGACAATGCTCCTGCAGAGGAATGGTCACATGGCCATCCTGAGAGCAGAGAGACCTGGGAAGTGCTCTGGGCTTTCACACCATCCCTCCGGTGAAAACTACCCTGGGAGGGCAGGACACCGCTGACCAAAACACCTCCCATCAGACCCATCTCTCAGATGATATAATTAAGTCAGATTTTCACAAAAACCCACCAGCCATTTAGCATTAGTCCATGGACTGTTCACTTACGACTTTGGGGTTAAAACAGCAAATGAGTTTGAGGAGCAAGTTCTGCTTAATCCGTAACACTGGCTGCCTTGGGGAGCATGCTACCCCATGTTCTATAAATATTGAAAAGCAGCAGAGCTCCAGTTAGCACATAAGGATGACATACTGAACCTGCGCCAGAGACCGAGCCCCTACAATTTGGATCCTGACACTTTGACTCTCAGGACTCCAAGATCAAAAACATGTAGGATCTCAAGCCCCCCGGGAAAAATTTTTAAAAGACATCTAGCACATGGCAGAAATACACTGCAGTTACAAAGAACAAGAATGATTTCTTCCTTACTTTTAGGAGTCAAGATTGTGTTGTTTAGAGATTGCTTAATATGTGTACAGTTTAATTGCACTTATTTTCCATAAAACTTTTTGTAACTTCCGTGATATCCTAAGGTAAAAAGTCCTCTAAAAAAGTGTCACCTAAAATATTCTATCCTAATTCTGTATTATTTCGGTCTTTTCAATATCTCTGCTTCCAACACTAGTGATGAGCAAATGAGATGTTATATGATGAAGGAAGTTTATACTTTTTCTACCTGTATTTTATATTTCTTCATGAAATTTGTTTTTAGGTATAGACTAAATCAGCAAAACAATAGACTTTTACTAGCTAACTCTTGCAACATCCTTTGGATATCTGCTATTTAATTTATTGTCATGAAAACCAAAATTACACTAAAAATATAAATGTTTTGTTGATTAAGATCAATGATTACGATAGTTCATGTATGTATGTGCACAAGATATAAGATTTTGAACACTAATGTAGGTCAACACTAGAGTAGTCTGAAAGGAGTTACTAATTTTTAGCATGTTTCAAATCAAGGTATTTCTTTTTTTAAAAGAAAAAAAGATTTTATTTATTTATTTGAGAGGTAGAATTACAGACAGTGAGATGGGGAGAGAAAGAGAGAAAGGTCTTGCTTTGTTTGGTTCATTCCCCAAATGGCTTCAACGGCCGGAGCTGCTTCGACCCGAAGCCAGGAGCCAGGTGCTTCTTCCCAGTTTCCCATACGAGTGCAGAGGCCCAAGCACTTGGACCATCTGCTACTGCTTTCCCAGACCACAGCAGAGAGCTGGACAGGAAGAGGAGCAGCCAGGACTAGAACAGGCACCCACATGGGATACGGGTGCTGCAGAAGGAGGATTAACCTGCTGCAGGGGTTTCATTTTTTTTTTTTTTTATTTGACAGGCAGAGTTAGACAGTGAGAGAAAGAGACAGAGAGAAAGTTCTTCCTCCTGTTGTTCACCCCTCAAATGGCCTCTAAGGCCAGCACGCTGGCCGATCTGAAGGCAGGAGCCAGGTGCTTCTCCTGGTCTCCCATGCGGGTGCAGGGCCCAAGCACTTGGGCCATCCTCCACTGCCCTCCCGGGCCACAGCAGAGAGCTGGCCTGGAAGAGGAGCGAGCTGGACTGGAAGAGGAGCAACCAGGACTAGAACCCGGCGTCCACATGGGATACTAGCGCCACAGGTGGAGGATTAACCAAGTGAGCCACGGCACAGTCCTGGGGTTTCATTTTAAGTATACATTTTTAAAGGCAACCACAGTTAACATTAGATAATTGTTAAATTAATGTCTCTTCCCCCTTAGAGGGTATGAACTCTATGATAGTAGGGATTTTGTGTTTCCTTCAATTTTCTAGGTTTAAGATGACATATATAATCAAAATATATAAATTAAAGTAATGAATAAAGTAAATCTACAAAGGAAAAATTTTGGTTATATAAGGCTTTATCTTTCTTTAGTTTACTGAGACTTTATTAAATTAAAATATCACATTATAATTTCATATCACTTTAAATTCCCAAGAAATTTATATAGACTTATTAATATGCAATCTTATAGCAATCTGAAAGCTTGATAAAGAATATACATTATTTGCATTATCAAAGTGTTGAGTTTTAAACTTAGAGATGATAACATTTTTCTTCCCAGTTATATATTTGGATAGTGGGAAGGCAGTGACTAATCCAGAATTCTTTTGTTCTTTGCAATGTGCTGCAGTTTTCACTTAAGCGTCGGTAGCAAAAATGGGCGGAGGGTGATGGTACTGGAATAATAATTCAACTGGAGTCACATATTAGTAATTTACAAGTTGAAGGTTCAAATTACTTACTTGCTCAAGATACATATAAATTTATAGAACATTAAAATACTATTAAGTGTTAGGGAGAATTTATATGGATATATTTTACCAGATTATAAAATTTCTCTTCACTGTTGGTTCTTTATTCTTGTTTGAATTGGTTCTGAATTTAATAAATGCTGCTCCTACATTTAGTAGAATTATAATTTAAATTTTTAATTTATTTTGTTAATGGAACAAATTATATTATTTGATTTTTACATGATAAACCTCTTTACTCCTTGGAATAAATTCAATTTGGTCATAATATATTAGCATTTTAAGATACTGTCAGGTTTCTGCTTGTTAATATTTGTTTAGGTTTTTGCATCTGTATTAACGAACTTCTCTTTTGTTTAAATATTTGTCAGGTTTTGATCTCAAGTAATGCTGAGACTCCGTCAAGAGATGGTTCTCCATGGATTTCTTGCAGTTCTGTGGATCTGGTGAGTGAGGCACTGATTGTTCTTTGTTTCAACAATCTTTTCAAGTTGCTCATATAGTGGGCAGTCTTAGGATATAGAAACCTTGTCTCCCTCTGGGACAAGGGCTGGCTTGTTACTGCCCAGTAAGAAGTGAAAATGTCTTGCTGTGGAACAAGAGCCAGGGAATCCTCTAAACGACTTGAGTTTTCCTGTATTATAACTTACTCTGTGTACAGGTGTCAATCAAACCTCTTTAAGTTACATTAAAATAATGCCTAAGAACTTACATGAATTTAAAATTGAAACAGTAGATTAAAAATAGGATAAAATGTGGGCAGAATGTAAACCCAACAAAAGTGTTCTGCACTTAACATTTTAGAGCAAGTTATAAAACAATTATTTCTATTGCAAAATATTTTTCACATAATAATTGTGAATTTTATAACATAAAACCCAAGAAAGAATATGAAATAGTATATAGCTAACATGAAAATAGAAAACAAACGGCAAATGAAGCATTTTATTAGTTCAAATATTTTAGAGAGAATACACGGAAGAGATGGGAGAATTGTTATGTAGTAAAATGGTAGAATTATCAATAATTACATTGAATATAAAAATACTAATGCCCCTATTTAAAAATATTACAGTCTAGAATGGCAGCTGGCAAACATTTTCAGTAAAGAGCCAAATGCTATTTTAGAATTCGTTGAAGATAGTCTATCATGAGTGCACAAATCTAACGAGGAGGCATGAGAGCAGTCTTAGAACATACGTGACAGCATGAGCAGGATTGTGTTTCAATGAAATTGAGTCTACAAACTATGCGGTGAGCAAGGTTAGCCAGTTGACAGTGCTTAGCTCACCCTTTTACTGAAGTTTCCTTCACTGGTAACAAGAAATATTCTAAGTATTTGCAAGAAGACTTGAATGTCTAGGATTAAAAGGTATAATATGATGTCCACCAAATGTTCTTTCAGCTGTACTAACATTAAAATAAATATACCCTTGTCTAAATATGATCAGAGTCAGTGAACTCAGGGGGCTTCCATAGCCTTGGCAGCTCATGACAAGAACCTAGGGTGATTACTGATGCCATAAACAAGAGTGTCAATTTGTTAAGTCAACAACAGGAGTCACTGTGCACTTACTCCTCATGTAGGATCTTTGTCCTTAGTGTGCTGTACATTGAGATTTAATGCTATAACTAGTACTCAAACAGTATTTTTCACTTTATGTTTCTGTGTGGGAGCAAACTAATCTTCTGTATATAAAGAGAAACGAGGATGAATCTTGATGTGAATGGAAGGGGAGAGGGAGTGGGAAAGGGGAGGGTTGCGGGTGGGAGGGACATTATTGGGGGGAAGCCATTGTAATCCATATTCTGTACTTTGGAAATTTATATTCATTAAATAAAAGTTAAAAAAAAGAAAATAAATAAATAAATAAATAAATATAGTTGCAAATAGCATTCATTACTAGAGATAAAGGAATATATCTTTAATGTCAGTACCAGAAAAAACTACAGAATTTGTATCATGAATCAAAATAAATGGACACAATATAGGAGGAAGAGACAAATTTACAAAGTGGGAAACTGATAATTTTTTTTCTTAATTACATATAGAAAAACTCAGCCCAAAATTCATTAACTAAGTTAGAGTTGAAATACATTAAACTTGTAAAATGTGTGAAAGTGAACATACAGTCTGTTACTGCACAACTACATTTCTGTCGGTAATGGCCCACAGAAACAACGGTAACCTCCTGCGATAATGGAAGCGAACAGCTTCTATTACCTAGTGATGTCTTGCTCATCTGAAGGTCACAGGGCAGCATCTTCCTCAGTGTTTGTGGTGATGCTTGTGTCAGTAATGCCGCTGAGCTTTCAGTCCTATAAAATTATTGCGTCTACAGTTGGGCACGGTGTGTAATGCTTGCTAGTGTTAATGCACAACTATTTTATTGTCTTATGTATTTACCACACTATAGTTCGCACTGGTGTTTTAGAGGGTACTACTTCTGTTGATTTAAGAACCATTTACTGTACAGCATTATGCCACGTAATGCCAGCAGCAGCTTAATGCATCTCAGGTGTGCCGAGTCTCTTCAAGGCATGAGAGACCACGGTCTGTCACAGTTGGCCTGTACTGTCTAGATTTGTGCAAGTGCCCTCTGTGTTGTCCCACAGTGGCAACGCTGCCTGCGGATACACTTCTCGGGACATGTGTCTATCATTAGGTAATACAGGAAAATCGCAGTTATCTTAATGGAATCACAGAAATCTCGGAAACTGTCATGAATTTTGTTCTGTATATACTTTAGATTCCTACGGCATTATTATTGCTTCATAGATCCTTTTAAATTAATATTTTTATATATACATGCATACAAAGAATCCTCATGAAGTTCGTAGAAATGCGTATTATCAAAAAGTATACAAAAATTTCAGGAAGTTTTTTGTACCAAAATAAACTTGTAGTTTTATTCTATTTTTCCATGAATTTTTTGAAGCGTCCTCAGATTTTGTGCTTTTTTTGATTTTCCAAACATTTTTATCCGTAAGTTTATGTCTGGATGTTTTCTGCTGCGTTGTTTTCCAGTCCAAAGCCTAAGGATGAAGATAGAACTGGGTACTTTGTTTCCCGTCTCCTCAGGTTCTGAGAATCTGGTCTCCTTGCTCCCTAGGTAGCATCCTGATATCCCTACATGTATTTCAGTTTCAAATCTGCGTTTTTCTGGGTGTTCTCAGTGACTACTGTCTTACTTGGAGTTTATTCGTAGAGTGCTGAAAGCATAAATTATCTTCATCTAGGTTTTTGGTGATGACCTTTATTAAGAAAAACTAGAATTGTGTACAAGATATGTTGAAGACACCAATGGTATACACTAATAAAATTTACAGTTGGCATTTAGAAATGCAAGATTTTAGTTGGTAGTTCAGTACGGTAAAACTGTTAAGTTATAACAGAAATTGAACTTCAAAGAACAAAAAAGGTAGTTCTGGAAATCAGATCTCTAGAACTGCAGAATTTAGAGTTTAGGAGAGATGGATGGTGCAGGAGAATGTGAAAGGAACAAGAAAACAGGGATGGATAAAATGTTTGCCAACAAAAGAGAAGGGTTTCAAGAAGGGCAAATATTGTCACTCGTAAAAATAAATTGTAGGTTTGTGTAAGCCAAATATGGAAATGTAACAGTTGCACATAATGTATGGAAAAGTTTATGAAGCCTTACCATTAGAATTGTGGGGTACAGGGCGTAAGTAATGGAGCAAAAATAAATAGAAAATGCTATTATTTCCAGCAATTTGTGAACTAGAAGGCCTTAAAAGTCTCTTACAATAAAATAGCAAGTAATATTGTGAATGATATAAAATATCATTTAAATGCATAACAGTTTCCAAGAACATAAAAAAAAAATCCCCAGAGGAAATAAACAAAGAAAAAGCTAGAAATAAGATATATTTTTGAAACAGACACTTCTCTTGACCATCTCTGTAACAACAACCAAAAAAAAAAATGCTTGACTTTTAAATGGGACATAATAATATTGGAAAATAATATACATATGATAAAATGTTGAAAATAAATGATAAAATTATACCAAACAAAGGGGTGGAGTCAAAATAAAAACCAGTGCAGAATGTTTAGCAAGTACATATAAGAAAAATGATAAAAATTAGTGAGCTGAGGTCAGATGTAGGAAAAAGAGAAGAGGGGCTGGAACTGTGGCCTAGCAGTTGAAGCCGCCACCTGCAGTGCCCGCATCCAACATAGATGCCGGCTAGAGTCTCGTCTGCTCCACTTCCAATCTAGCTCTTGGCTGTGGCATAGGAAAGCAGTAGAAGATGGCCCTTGGACTTCTGTGGGATACACTGGAGAAGTTCCAGGTGTCTGGCTTCAGCCTGGCCCAGCTCTGACCATTGTAGCCGCTTAAGGTGTGAACCAGTGGATGGAAGACCTCGCTCTCTGCATCTGCTTCTGCTTCTCTGTAACTCTGCCTCCCAAATAAATAAATAGATGTGTGTATATATATATATATATATATATACACATACACACATATTTTAAAGAAAAAAAAGTAAGGAAAAGATAAAACAACTCTAAAGTGAGTGGGAATATGAAAATACAAATTTCAAAGACAAAATTAATAAATGGAACAAAAATTTATGGTCAACATAGTTAAAAATTATTTATTTGAAAAGATGGATAGAAAATCCTCTGTCACATTTTAGCAAAAAAAAGAGAAGAAAATGGTATGAAATTTAAAGAAGCAGGTAAGAATATCCACTACTCATAACCAATGTAAGAAGCATATGAATCATTAAACATGAAAAATTGGATGATTACAAAGAAATTGCTGGAAATGTTTCAATAAGAAAACTTTGATAATTATTCAATAGTAATGTAATAATTCAGTAGTAAGTGTATCTACAAAAACAAAATAAGCACACAAAATATGCAACAACAATAAAAATTAGATACAACTAAATGATCATAATTTCATAGAAATTTTCATCTTAAATTTAATGGAACTGGCCGGCACTGCAGCTCACTAGGCTAATCCTCTGCCTTGAGGCGCCAGCACACCGGGTTCTAGTCCCAGTCGGGGCGCCGGATTCTGTCCTGGTTGCCCCTCTTCCAGGCCAGCTCTCGCTGTGGCCAGGGAGTGCAGTGGAGGATGGCCCAAGTGCTTGGGCCCTGCACCTCATGGGAGACCAGGTGAAGTACCTGGCTCCTGCCTTCGGATCAGCGCGGTGCACCGGCGGCTGTGCGCTGGCCGTGGCGGCCATTGGAGGGTGGCAATAGGAAGACCTTTCTCTCTGTCTCTCTCTCTCACTGTCCACTCTGCCTGTCAAAAAAAAAAAATAATGGAACTTTGTATGAATTCTTTTTTTCGAGGTTTATTTATTTTTTTTTGAATGGCATGGTTACAGAGAGGAGGGAGAGATAGAAATAGAGAGAGAGAGAGAGAGAGAGAGAGAGATTGAAATCTCCCGTCTGCTGATTCATCCTCTATGGCTTCCATGGCCGGGGCTGTGCCAGCCAAACTCAGCAACCAGGAACTCCATCCAGGTCTCCCATGCTGGTGGCAGGGTCCTAAGGAATTCTACCATTTTCTGCTATTTCCCCAGGCAGATTAACAGGGAGCTGGATGGGAAGTGCAGCAGCCAGGACTTGAACAGGTGCTCACATGAGATGCTGCCGTCGCAGGCAATGGCTTCACCATGGCTCCACAACCCTGGCCCCCAGTATACCAATTTTATTGCTACTATAAACTTTGATTGCCAAACCACCTGGGAGAATGTAAAGGCCTGGATTAATTTTTCTGTATGTGTGAGTGTTTGTGTGTATCATAAATAGAACAGAAGCATTTAAATCCGCTATAGCACAAAAAGTTAGTGTGTATTGACCAAATTTGCTCAGTTGTAGAATAAAATACTGGTTTGACACTGAAGACTTGGTCAAACTAATTCACCACATTAACATGTTAAAAAGAAAAAAAATGACAAAATAGGCCGGCGCCGCGGCTCACTAGGCTAATCCTCCGCCTTGCAGCGCCAGCACACTGGGTTCTAGTCCCAGTCGGGGCGCCAGATTCTGTCCCGGTTGCCCCTCTTCCAGGCCAGCTCTCTGCTCTGGCCCGGGAGTGCAGTGGAGGATGGCCCAAGTACTTGGGCCCTGCACCCCATGGGAGATCAGGAGAAGCACCTGGCTCCTGCCATCGGATCAGCGTGGTACGCCGGCAGCAGCGCACCGGCCGCGGCGACCACTGGAGGGTGAACCAACGGCAAAAGGAAGACCTTTCTCTCTGTCTCTCTCTCTCACTGTCCACTCTGCCTGTCAAAAAAAAAAAAAATGACAAAATAAAAATTTAACTAAAATTAGAAAAGTAATTGAATAAATCAAAAAGTCATTTATAGCTTAAAATATAAAGTTATTGACACTAAATTGCCCTGATTGTTAATTAAGATGCATCAAGAAGAGGCTCACTTTGCCCCTGAGAACTGCTTTAAAGTGGTGTGGTGAGAATGAGAAGATGCAGGCCAAGTGCTCACTCCTTGCAGCTGGCTCATGAGGTCATCCAGATAGATGTAACACAGGGTGATGAGTGGTGAGCACCAAGTCCAGCGAGAACACAGAGGAAAAACATTCTGCGTGGGGTGATGCAGAGTTATGGAGAACAAGAGCAAACCGATGAGCCTGCTCTTGGAAAGGTGCAAGCTACGGCGTAGAGCCTCCTGGGACTCCCCTCCCCCAGGGCACTGGGTTCCATGACGAGCTAAATGTAAAAATCTCCAGGATGTAGTGCACCCACCTCCATCAGAAGTGTCTGTCGTGGGGCGCTTTCTGAATTGGTGTATTATGCTGTTACCAGAAACTATGTACACACTCAATGACCATTCCTGTCTCCTTAGACCATTTAAAAACATCCTTCATAGTTGACAATAAATCCTTCTGATACGCTTTTAGAAGAGTTTATGGACATGCATCAGTAGCTGAATAAACGTGAACATAAAAGAGTTATATGCTTTCTTATTTGTGAGTCAAACTAATCATTTCAAAATGCACAGTCAATGACAATTAGGAAAATGAAATGCTACACAGTGGCTCTTTAATTTCAGATATTTTCAGTATTACTCATCCAGTTGTTAATTTTCTAAATTGCAGTTTACGTGCTCCACAATATGTTAATATTTTGTTTAAACTGAAGAAATGTTGCTTACAATTATTTGTTCCCATCTTGCCTTGAATCTTTAAAGGACGTGTGTACAGTGACATGATATTTAGAATTTCAGAAGAAAACCCTTGGGAATGGTCACTAAGCCTGTTGTACTATGTCTGCTTTTATTGTTGCCAAAACTGGCATGAAGTCTTTAGATGTTGGTGTGCCTTTTCCCAGTAGTAGTATTTTCATTTTTTATTTTTAGTTGGCAAATAAAAATCATGTATATTTACGGTATGCGACATGTTTCGATGTATGTATACATATAGAATGGTTAAATTAAGCTAATTAATACATCAATTAGCTCACCTATTTGTTGTCATTGCTTGTGGTGAGAAGACTTAAAATCTACTCTCCTAGCAATATTTAAGTAGACAGTACATTGCTAACAACCGAATCCACTATGTTGTAAGGTATCTCAAGAAATTGTTTATTCTGTTCCACTGCAGATTTGTATTTTTGATCAACATTCTCCCAATACCCCTCCCACACACCTCCAGTGTGTGTGTGTGTGTGTGTGTGTGTGTGTATGGTTAAGAAAAAAATCTCTAATTTTAAAAAGTTATTGATCTAAAGTCAATAAAATTCCAAACAAAATGATCAAATCAAAATAATTTTCTTGAAAAGCAAATAGTTTAGAATGCTTAAATTGTCACTGTATTCATGATTTCCTACAAGTTTTCCAGTGAATTAAGAAAAACAAGGTATAAAGATTAATATTAGAGAAATGGTCATTATTTTCAAGTGACCTTTCTTCTATCACAAGGAGTATGAGAGAATGATTTGGATTAATAAGATAGGTGATTTTACACAGAGAAAAACCTCACTTTTATGGTAGCAACAAATAATTTAGAAATATAATTATACGAATTATGCAAAATTACATACTAACGAAAAGTGAAAGTACTGAGGAATATATCTATCTGATCATAGTGTTTACAAGCACGATAATAAAGAATAGAGAACATCTGAGCATTCTAACTGATACATGGAAATTTGATCAACCAAAACAGTATCAATTCAGACCCTGAAGGATCACTCAACAAAGTCTGGTGCAAAGGAATCCATTCACAACTATTTATCCAGCAAACTAAAAACCAGTATAGAATTCTGTGCTTAATTATAAAAGTCAAAACATACAAGAGTACTTTAAAAAATTCATGGAAAATGGAATTAATTACAAATTTATTTTGCTGCAAAATTTTTTGAAATCCACTCACAGAGGTAGCATCATAAAGTTAATCTGAAATATATATTATGAAAATTAGGAATGCATTATTAATATTACAAGTATTATTGTATTTCTGCACTTCTCTGAATAAAATATTCAAAAATAACTTCTGTATGGTAAAAACTGTGGATGGCAAGATTTCATAGTGTAGATATGAAGTCTGATGTTACCTATTTTATATATTAGCTAAGGAAACAAAAAAGTGTAATTGCTTTCTCTGTAAGTTTATTATATCAATGCAATGCAAATGAGACCCAAGTATCTTTTCAGATTGATAAATTAATTGATTTGAAAGTGCGAGAGAAAGAGATAATGTCCTCATCTGCTGGTTACTCCATAAATATCCAAGAAAGCCCTGGCTGAGCCTAGGGGAAGGTCAGGAGCTGTGAACTCAATCCTATTCTCCCACAAGTGGCAGGAATCCAATTATTTGAGCCATCACTGCTGCTACCCATGGTTTGCTTTTATAGGAAGCCTTGTTTGTCTTTCTTCACCCAACTTACATCAAATTCATGAAGTACATGGGTCTACAAAATACACACAAAGGAACTGAAATAAATCTAAGTGACTTTGATGCCCTATTGGATGACAAAAGTCTGTGATTATAATGTGTCCAGTACAGAGATGAAAAAGCAGCACATACCTATTAATTGAATGAAATATTGATAGGATATAATGAAAATGATAATCCCAAGTCATTGTGGTCCTTTTTGATTTTATAATTGCCTATGAGACTATGTTTCTGTCATAATCATGAAAAATGAACATTGTGTTCTATATGGTTTTTAGCTGGAATATCACAGTTATTTGACTAGTAGTTATTTTGAACTTTTAAAAAATTAAAAACTTTTAGGTTGCATATACAAAGGATAATTTTGAACATAAAAAGATCATGATATTATAAAAGTGGCAATTGCCAAGAAAACATAGAAGCAAAATAAATTGGCATCATCAATCTATTATTTTAAAATCTGCCCAGCACAAATTGGAATGGTTTTTGTTCTCTAAAGATTGTCCTGTTTCTTCCCACTCAACCATATGGGGAACCATATGTTTATAATTCCCTTCAAATCTTTTCTTAATGTCACCTTATCAAGGAAACCTCCCCTTCCCACCATAGACTAGACATCATATCTCTCCATTTTTCATGCATCTTAGCTTTGTTTTCATGATAATGTTACAATCTGACATTGATTTTGTTTATCGTCTTTGTTCTGCACTGAGTTTTTAATGAGAGCAAGGACTGTGGCTTCGCTAGCTGCTTTACCCCTGAAGAGAACAAAAGTGCAGTGGATGTGACGGGGACTCAGCTGATGCTGTTCAATGGGTAAATGAACCTAAACCATGTGTACACAGTGATTCCATTTCAGTTTTGTAGATTTCATACATTTGAGATATTTTGTAGATAGTTTAGTAGATTTCATACATTTTCATACATTTGAAAAACCTTTCAAAGTATTTTCCATTGTTTTTCTTGTCTACCAGAGCAAAGAAGTCTGTCATTCTCGCGCTGTCAACAGTGTTATATGCAGGGTTACTGTACCTTGGCAGTCATGCCTACAATAATGTGGCAAAGTATCCTCTAAAATGAGACGGACACAGGAACAGAGGCCAGGATGGGAGAGGAGAAGAATGGAGTCCGAGTGAGGAGTTTCTGGTCTCAGTGAGATGTAAGTGCGATGTGCAAAGGCCCTGCCATGCTTGACTTGTACAAGCCACATGTCCTCCTTTTGCCTACACTTGTTGCTTTTGGACGCTTAACAGCTTTCAACTAATAGTGCTGATCGATTCCTTTAGAGTCATGTAACATGCCCTGTAACAGTGAAAACCCATACAGGTTCAAATAATTATTAGAATACTTGAAAAAGAAAGGGTAGATACATAATTTGAATCTATCAGCAATGCTTACCTTATCATTGCTAGCAAATGAGTATGTAACTCCAAAGCAAACTTCTGAAGTATTAATAATGTTCTAATCCATTGGGAACTGGATTTGTACTTAAAATTATCTTTGTGTATGTGTGATATTGGCAGGTGGTTGTTTTATCTTTACTTTCATATTTGAATTGCTTGTTGCTGTTGTAAAAGGGTGTTTCAAAATTTGTGGGAAAATCTAAGAGAAGTATATTTTGGTGCAAACATTTTGAAATCCATGTATAGTTTTCCCATATTACACATTTTCATAAACTTGTTGGACACCCCTAATATAGGAAAGCAGTTAATTTTTGTATATGAATTGTATTAACCTTGTGTCTTATGGCCTTGCTGGAGTCATCTAATCCTTCCAAGAATCTGGTGATTCATTAGGAATTTCTGCATCCAAAATCATGTCATACACAGACAGAGAGAGTTTTATTTATTTCTAGCCAATCTGTCCTACTTTTTCCTTTAGTTATCATCCCACTAGTTAAGTTTTCCATCAAGGTTGAATAAGAGTCCTGAGAGAGGACAGGTTTGCTTTGGTTTCTGACATTAGGGAGAAAACATCATTGCTCAGCTTTAACTATGATGTGGACCATAAATTTAGATAGCCACTTTTTTTTTTTTTTTTTTTTACAAGCAGAGTGGACAGTGAGAGAGAGAGAAAGAAAGGTCATCCTGTGCCGTTGGTTCACCCTCCAATGGCTGCTGCGGCCAGCGCACCGCGCTGATCCGAAGCCAGGAGCCAGGTGCTTCTCCTGGTCTCCCATGGGGTGCAGGGCCCAAGCACTTGGGCCATCCTCCACTGCCCTCCCGGGCCACAGCAGAGAGCTGGCCTGGAAGAGGAGCAACCGGGACAGAATCCGGCGCCCCAACCGGGACTAGAACCTGGTGTGCTGGCACCACAGGCAGAGGATTAGCCTATTGAACTGCAGTGCTGCCCTAGATAGCCACTTTAAAAAATATATATTTTTATTTTATTTTATTACCAGCCTCTGGTAACTGCCATTCAATTCTCTACTTCAATGAGTATAACATTTTTATTTATTTGTTGTTTAAAGAGACTAGTTTCTGGATTTTTAGATTAATTTATTTGTGCAATAGTGAAACAGATTAACAGATTTTCCACTTGGTGGTTTATTCCACAAATGCCTGCAATTGTAGACATGGGATCAGAAATGGGGGAGCAGGAAACTCAATCCAGGTCTCACATGTGGGTGGCAAAAACACAGTTGTCTGAGCCATTACCAGAGTCTTCCTTGATTCTACTAGCTGGAAACTGGAATCAAGATCCAGAGCTGGGAACTTAAACAGAACTCTGATGTGGGAATTGATCATTTTGACTGATGTCTTAACCATTAAGCAAAACGTCCATATCTCTACATTTTTCGATCCCACAGAAGAGTGTGAATTATTTGTCTTATTGTCTAGACTAATCCATGTTTAACATAAATGATGACATTAATGATGATAAATACACTTGTATGTGTAATCATATTAGCCATTCATCTGTGATGGGCATGTCCTTGTTTCCAGATCTTGGCTACTGTGCACAGTGCTGTAATGAACATGAGAGTGTAGCCATCTTTGAACATACTTACTTTGTTTCATTTTTCATTTGGTTATATATTCTGCAGCAGGATTGCTGTGCCAGTTGGTAATTCTATTCTGTGTCTGTTGTTGCATTTTCATACTGTTTTTCTTTTTTAAAAATGAATTATTTATTTGAAAGAAGAACTATGGTGGGGGGCAGATCAAGAGAACTCCATCTGCTGGTTCACTCCCAGATGGCCTCAACTGGGCCAGGCCAAGTCAGGAGCTTCATCAGGGTCTCCCACATGGGTGCAGGAGCCCAAGCATTTGAGTCAGCCTCAGGTGCTCCCCCAGACACATTAACAAGGAGGTGAATCAAAAGCAGAACATCAAAAGCAGAACAGCCAGGGTTTGAACCTGAACCCATATGGGATGCCAGTGCCATAGGCAGAGGATTAACCAGCTGAGCCACAGTGCTGGCCCTCATATTGTTTTTCAAAGAGCATTATTCATTTATAGTATTACCAACAAAGTATAGATATTTCTTTTTCTCTACATCTTAGGCATCACGTTATGGTTTATTTGCTCCTTTATTTCATAAGTATTTTGGAAAAAACATCTAGATCATCAATTTGAGATATTTTGATATTTGTAACATATAATATTTTAAAGTTTCTTCTTGATAACAGCTTATCTTCATGTAATGAGTCAATACCTTGTATTATTTTCACTTCAAAATATTTTCTTTTTTTCTATTAAATTATGCTATTTGGTAGAATTATATGTCATTTTCAAAATTTAAAATTCAAATTTCTTGTTAATTTTAGTTCAGCAATTTTTGGAGTCAGATATCATGAATAAGTTTAAACACTAAAAGATATGGTCTATTTTTTAAAAAAAAAATTTTAGTTATTTGAAAGAAATCTTTACATAAGTTTTTAATACGCAATAATGACATATGCCTCCAGGGTACAGCATGACATTAAATACAAGTAGGAATAGACAATGTATACTGTTGAAATCAGGACAATCAATGTCTCCATCTCCCCATCACCACTGATGGGGGCTCTCCCTCCCAGTTATTCACAGAAATATTCAATTTCAACAGTATACATTGTCTATTCCTACTTGTATTTAATGTCATG